ACTCTCAAGAAGGCCTGGGATACAGAGGAGAAAATTCCACTTTCCTTTTTCCAACCTTCAAGCCTCAAAACATAAAAAAAGCCAAAGAAGAATCAAAAGAAAGATGCATGGCAGGAAAAGAGAATTAGCCTAGCCAGAAGCACAAGATTTCTTTTGTTTCTTCAGAATTGAAAGAGAGTAATTCCCTCGCTTTTCTTTAATGCAATAAATAACAGGTGGGCGTCCTGCTATTATTTATCACTGGAAGATTTTCAGAAATTTAGAAAGTGTTAAATGCAGGACATGTTCTCTGTAGAGATACTGAGTTGTGGTCTGCTTCTTCCTCTCCTCAGTTCCCAATTCTATCACACCACTATAAAATTCAGATTCCTTTTCTGGAACTGTGGCTTTCATTCAAAAGATGCATTTAACCAGATCCTTACATTAACTCATGTGCTGACTTCACCCAATATGTTGGATCACAAATAGGTGGGCTTCATACATTCTACAAAGCCAGGAGTGCGGGGGAAACTAACCTATGGTGAATAATGCTCTCCACCTTAGCTTGTGATGTGAATGCATCTGCCAGGTCTTTATCTGATCTGGTTGAATGTGTCATGTGAAGCCATCTGAAGAGCTATGCAGACAGCATGCCAGGGAGTTCAAATAGCATGCACTCAATGCAAGACCCAATGGCCCTCTGATTGATTGATTGATTGATTGATTGCACAGGCTTCTATGTCACTCTAATTTGTCAACTCTGAGCATCTTGGGGGGGGGGGGTTGTTGTGGTTCTGTTTTGTGCCTTCGAGTCAGTGTTGACTCCTGTTGATTGCCTGGACTAGAGTCTGCAGTTTTCCTGGCAAGGTTTTTCAGAAGGGGTTTGCCATTGTCTGCTTCCCAGGGTTGAGAGAGAGGGATTGGCCCAAGGTCACCCAGCTGGCTTTGTGCCTAAGGCAGGACTAGAACTCAGAGTCTCCCGGTTTCTAGCCTGATGCCTAACCACTACGCCAGACGAAGCATCTTACAAAACCCCAACACGGTAATTAACGTTGAAAATAAGCAATATAGCACAAAACAAGAAGAAAAAATTGCCAGCAATCTCAACCACTCATTCATGATGCCCCTTGTCCAGAGAATAATTCATCTTCCATTCCTTCTCCAGAGGTTCTCCTAAAGATCTAGTTTTCAGACTCTTCAGGTCTAGAAAGTTAATTTGGACCAATGCAGGCCTGAAGTGGGATCAAACACCTAATTTCTTACCATTTGCAGCAATTTTTAATTTTTTAAACATTATCCCAGCATCAAATAAGCAAACCGATGGAAATGTTTTATTTCAAGTAAACGCCATGCAACATCTCTGCTACAATGTGTTTAATGCTACCGAGGCATTTAAGTTTGGATCAATGCAAAAGCTGTTAAGTATCTTCAATAAATAAAAAGGGAGATAGGGTTGTATATTGCCCTTTCCCCCAAAATGATTATCTTTCAGCTATGTTCACATAATGGCTTAACCAGGTCAGGTAAAGCCTTAACATCTGCTTCTCCATGCAAAACTTGGTTTGTGCTAACCTTGATTAGAGGATGGAGGGAGACAGACAAGCACATGGCCACACCCGCACATACATATATCACATAGACATTTACAGAGAGAAGGAGACTTAACATGTGTGAACCCGTTCCATTTGGTGAAGTTATGATTAGCTAATTCTATATTTTGTACATCTGTGGGGCCAACCCAGAAAAAAGATTAATTCACTAAGCAGGTAAAATAGGTTAGGTGAATGACGCAGGCTTGGAATAGTTTTGGTCACTGCAAGCATGTGAAACTGTCAGGGAAAGATGTCTGGCTGTTAGAGAGGCCCAGGGACTGCAGGATGGTTTAAACAAGTTCTGCCTTGGTTGCCTAGCAAGGCACCCAACAACTGCTTTGTCCCTTTCGTGAAATAGCATCTTCTTGTCGTCTCAACCTATGATCTCTTTAACTGGACATTGCTCAGATGGAATGTGGGTTGCACAGTCTAGACTCTCCCGCTATTCTGCCCTTCAGTCTGAAGGGATGCCCCCATTCACCAGTTCCCTTTTGCACCCTTAGGAACTACTCCAGAAGTCAGAGGTGAAACTGTCTCCATTAAAGCTGGCCAATCTGCTGGATAAGAAGGAATTTGGGGGCAGGGGTGAGTCAAAGAATGACCAGGAGCTGTTGGCAGATCTCTGGCAACTTGTAGTAGATCAGCAAGAATCTTGGATTCCAATAAAGAACAGCAAAATCAGACAAATCTCCCCTCCTTGCACATGTGAAGGAAGTGAGCTTGGAATAACCAGGAGAGATTTGACTGGGAAAAACTAGGAGCAAAATACATTCTGGAGCATCTAAAGAAATTCCTGACTTCATTACGTTCTCACAGGTATTCTGTTCAGAATCAGTTCTCTGTCGTCTATAATGTACTCTCCTTGATTGATCTCAAGACTGTAGTAAACACAAAATAGACTCCACCAAGCTTGGCATTGCTTTTCTCTGGTTTAAGGTGTCCTGTTTGGGCAATCATAGCTTCTGCTCATTCCTTTAGTCATCATTCAGGATTGTACTGGTGCATACAGAAGCATATAAACCAAGTCCACTAACCTCCAAGGAAATTATTTTCTAAAAGTTTGCTTTTGGAAACAATAAGCTGTGGATATAGGCAAATGCCTTACAGTGATGGAGGAAAAATTGAAGATTGTTCAGTTTGGTCCTCATGGAGAAGTTGGATTTTGAGGAAAGGTTTGATAGGAGAGAGAATAAGCTCCATTCTGGGAGGGAGCAGTGAGAAAGAAACACGGTGGAATCAAAATTGGGGCCCTGTTTAACTGCACAGAATCTCAGATTCTGCAGGATGAGTGTAAATACATCAATTCCAATTCTTTCAGCAATAGAATGCTATGGTGACCAGCGTACCTTACTCGGTAAGTAAGTCTCTTGGTGCAGAGACGACAGAAACATATTCAGATCTGTATAAGGAGAAGGAGGAGCAAAAGTCTTTTCCAATCTTTTCAAAAAGCAGACGACAGAAAGGCATCCTTGAACTTTCTTGGCCTGAATTTAGTGGATTAGACCCCTCCAATAGGACAAGAGGGTATTCTCTCACTGTCTCCCTCCCCCCCCCCCAGCCCCATTAGCAAATCTTCCTTCTTACAGAAGATCATCTGCACAGGAGGTTCAGTTCCCTACAAATTCCTGCACTAGGCTTTCTTCTTGGTAGTAAAAAATGATTGCCCATCAGCCAGTTTATAAATAGCAAATAATTGCTAGTGAAAGGAATGGGTGATGCATTCTTAGAACTATTTTGGGTGCCTGGATGCAGGGGGAAGCTGTTAATCACAAAGCAAATCGCAAGATTTTGGACTAGAAAGGTACTCCAGGTGTTTAGTCAGTCCATCCTGGGTGTTGGGGGTGGAGGAAGAAGAGAGAGACAATGGGAAGGGAGATAGAAGATGAAAAACCTGGCTGACTTTGGCCACCACCTCAGCTGCGCCCATTACAAAGCATTTACTTGTGATATCATTGCTCGTCTTGAGAACTTCTCCCAAATGCCAATATCCATCTGATGGAGCAGGGAAAAGCCACCTGATTTTGGACTATAGTTCTCACCTCCACCACCCAGCCCAATAGTCAGATACAGGAGGAGCTGCACCGCAAAGCACCTGGGTTCTTGGTTTCTTACCCCTGTAATAAAGCTATTTGCTTTGCTTCTCTTCCCCTCCCCCCTTTTTTACTTTTAATTGTTTTTATTTGATCTGCAAAATGTCTCTCCCCATCTGTTTTGCTTTCATGTGTTGGGGATTAGCATAATGAATCAGACAGACCAAATAACTTGACAAATGAATTGTGACTTTGATTCCCTCCTGTTGCCATAATGGTGGGTAGCAGGGAAATTTGGTGGGGGAGGTGATGGGTAGAATTTCAAGGAGAGGCAACAGGCCAAAATAGAGCTGGTCCCACCTGCCTAGTCCTCAGCCTCTGAGGCGGTTGGAGTTGCAAACAGCTCAAACCCAACAGCATTGTTTGGCAAAGAGAAGGGGGCGTAGATTTGAACTAAACCAACCACAGCTCACTGGATACAGCTCTGAAACAAATCTGTGCACCACAGACGCATCTATACACTGCTTTTCACCCAACGCGTGCTCTCACCACACAGCAGAATCTGTGTGTGTGTGATGTTATCATGATATTAAGCATCTCTATCTCTATGGCAGAGACCAAGCTTTTTTGAGTTTATGCCTCCCAGGATGGGTTTACGTGAGTTGCAGTTGGACCCACCTGGAACTGCATGTTCAGTGTATCGACTGGGTTCCATGTTAGGGTCTATCTCTGCTTTTCGTGGATGCATGCAGCTCCAGGTTGGGAGGAGAGGTGATTGGGAAGTGAAGGAAAGACCCCCACTTTTTTGAGCCAAAGTAGCATGCTGACAAAGGGGTGTGTGCATGCAGACAGTGTGAGTGTGTGTGTGTGTGTGTGTTCGTGAGTGGGAGGGTGGGCATATTGGCGTGTGTGCATGCTGATCTGCCTCTGCAGAGGATTTTGCCCCACACACCAGAGTTGCAACAGATGGGATGGGGAAAATCTTTCTGCAGTTCTAGCCACAATGACCCAACATCCTTAATGGTTTCTCTTGCTGCTCTGCTTCTCCAACATCTGCGAGTGCATGTATACTTCTTTCCTGCCCTTCTCACTGTTGGGGGGCTCTTTGGCCACCACTGCACAAGAGATGTGGGTTTAATGCCCCTGCAAAGCATCCCCCTCTCTTTCCCAGGGCTCTATGGAAGGGTTCCAAAATTGAGGGGGGGGGCATGTCCCTGTCGGCCCCCACCCCCCCCCCCCGCTCCAAGAAGAGAAGATACTCACCACAACGTGGCTGGGAGTTTTTTCCAATGCTGAAACAGCACAACAGGCCTGCGGCAGGTGGCATATGGCATCGGGATGGGAGGGGGAGTGGGTTGGGGAGGATCCCAGAAAGGGAGGGGGAAGAGGCTCAGCTTACCTGGACATGTGCTCCCGCTGGGGCCGGTGTGCTTTCTCCAGCCCCAGTTTGGTGAAGATGCCCACCAACACCATGACGGCAACCACCCCGCAGATGATGTAGACGATGAGGTTCGTCTTGTCACGGGTGGGGTCATGGGATGGGTCCATGGGTCGGTTGGTCATCTTGCGCCCGTTAAGCCAGGGAGGCTTGATGTAGTTGGTGCAGATGTCCTGGTCCAAACGTCTCTTCTGATCCTGGCAGCAGAAACGGAAGCCACACGTGCCACAGCAAAAAGGGTAGCCGCGGACACTGCAATTGAAAGCCTCGTCCCACTGGCCCATCACATCGAAGTAGCCCCGGCATGCCTCCGGGCTGGGGGGCGGCTCCGAGGCGTCGGCGGGTGGTGGCTCACCAGCTCGGCTGTGGTTCCCGCCGGAGTCAAACAGCATCACGATGCTGCCCAGGTGTTGCCCGACTTTCTCCTGTGCCCGACACAGGAGAGGGGGGAGAAGGTCTGCTGCCAAGTAGCCCAAAACCAAACGGAGGAAGCCCTTCATCCTTCGCAGCGCACCACCAGGACACCTGAGGCTGCCTTCCCTGCTGCCGCCGCCGCAATTCAAGCTTCCCGACGCTCCGGCGCTGCGCCAAGGATTGTACATAAAGGGGGTCTCTCTGGGGCAGACACCGCTGGTGCGCTCTCCCGCTCTTCTCCCCGCAGTTAGTAGCTAGGGCTGGATTTCAGCACCGCGGACAGCTCCAGGATTTCAGGACCGCGGGCAGCTCCGAGCGGCCGCGCAGCCTTGCAGGGCCGCCTCTGCCGAGCATGCGGGGTTGGGGGGCGGGGTACCCCTCCTCCTCCTCCTC